CATGGTCACTGTCTTTGGGACTGGAGATTACTTAGACCCAGCAAGATACTGCATCCATAGCTCCCTGTAGGCACTTATTTTTTTTGGATAAAAGGACCTGTTGGTCAGATTGTCAAAACTTAAACATGAATCCATCCTCCTTCTGATAAAACACTCGAATAAGAAAGCTACATTTTCAATTTGCTTGCATAAGCAAGAGTTAGAGTCATGGCCTGAGATTCACAGGACCCTTCTTTTTTGTAATACATCAATGTTTTTCACTTAAAAAAAATACAGTAGTAAAGACTTGAGGTATAACTTCAACAAATACTGGGTAATCTTCATTGGCCTCGGTTAAGGGCTCTTTTCCCCCTTAGTTGTATGCAGTGACAGTTTTCTGGGTCTCAAGTTCTTTTGGGTGCAAAGATTGTTGTTTCTCCAAATAGCAGTTACTATTTCTTTGCTGCGGAGAGAAATGGATGTTTTTATTGTGTGGAGCCCAAACTGCTGTCAGACAGTAAAGAGGGGATGGGTTTTGCTGGGTTTTACCTCCAGGGCAGTAGGGATAAACTGCAGTTATTCCATAGAGGTGTGATCGCTGCTCTGGGAGATACTCATCGGTGAAGGAGCCGGTTTCTTTATCGATGGCTATCACACCATCCCTGGTGAGAAAAAAGGGAGAAGTGCTTTATTCATCTGTGAAACATTTTTTTATTTTAATTGTCTACATGCATTTAAGAACAGAGGCAGCTAAAAATCTTGGTGGGAACACCTGCAGAACAAATAGGAAGAAATTTGCCCTATAAAATCTACATCCAGCTTGTTTGGTAGATTTCTCTGGTGGTGCAGAGTTAGAGGCAGCCTTCCAAGGGGACATTATCTCTCCTCCGAGTGTGGCAAGAACTTCAGCGGTTGTTTTGAGATCTTCCAGCTGGAGTGGGAAGAGAGGAGAGTCCTGATGCTAAGAGCCTTGGATGGGAGGGGAAAGGGAACGGCTGAGGACAGAATAATTCTTTGACTTAATCTGTGGTCAGAACCTTGGGTCAAGGTTTTATTTAAAAAAACCCAAACCCAACCGTTATTTCTGTCCCTCCCAGGAAGCCAGGCCTGTTTCTACACAACTCTTCCGAGCCGAGATGTACAAGAGGGTGTTGCTGAGCGTGGCACTGCAGGAGCCCCCCGAGAGCGCTCTGGTGACATTTCTGGACCAGGCTGGGGACAGTTTTTCCCCCCCTTTGGCTCAAAGCCCCTCCAAGCTGCTCACCAGGGCAGGGAATGGCAGGGGCTGGGTTCAGCCATTTCAGGGGGCGGGTTTTTTGGTCCTTTT